AATTTAATGTGTAGTACATTTTGCACAGTATGTTCAACCCCCTGCATCATTACCACATCTGTTGAGTAACTATATAAAACACTGTTTGCTGTGGTTAATGTGCAGTCAATGCATGATGCAGGCAGCAATTTTATCAAAACACATCCTTGATCCTGCTCTCACACACTAAAATGCACTGACATTTTTCCTCATGCCATGCTTATATTTAGGTTTGAGCACATATCGCTGCACACATGATTTTATATTCACCTGTCTGGGGGACTCATCTCTGATGAACTCTTCATAAATCCTGGCTGCTCTCCTCGTCAGCTCGTCTGGACTGTCACAGGTTTTGAACTCTTGACACGCGAGCCAGAAGTCCAGGTTTTCCTCACAGAACTCTGCCTTCAGAAAGTCCCGGAATGCTGTTCGTCCACCTGTGACACAAGAAAACATAAGGTCATTCAAAAGAAAACCAACCATCCCTCATCATTAGTGTTGTGTTGAAAGCAGATGAATATTACATTTCTGTGAAAGTAGTGTCTTGAGTGATTCCTCCAGTAGGCTTACTTCATATGTCTCCTGTCTGTAGATTGAAAAACAGTAAAGTTTTGGATTGATTCACAAAAAATATGAAACATTACAAAATGAATATGTAGTATAATCAGATTTAAACCCACCTGTTGATTTTCCTCCATGATAACGGACTCCGGATGAAATATTTTTGCACTATTGATTTCCATGCGTTATGTCTAGAGAGGAGAACGATGAGAATTAAAATGTAATTTGAAAATTAATACAAACAGTGTTACAGGCCAAATATACTGTACTTACATTGTCTTTGTGTCCTGGGGGTCCAGAGAAGTCCTAGAGAGCTCATTCATGATTAAATCTGAATTACCTTCTCTCCTGTGCGAATCATAAATTGATGTCTCAGTATGCATGGTGCCACTGAATCCACAGAAGAAAGTTCTTTAGATGTCAGTCAGATTTTAAACCAGATAGCCTCTGCAATATGATCCTGAACATCTCTCCACACCAATGAGGGTAGGATCTGCGATTTCAAGGCACCACTGTTCCTCCCTGGTCCCCCCCCCCCCCCCCCCCCCCCACTTCTGGCGTCTTGCTCTCTTTAACCTCTGCTGACATGCAGACTAATTGTTACATACTGCAATTAGGAGGAGCCACATGAATACCTCAAAGTGCCTCAAACCTTGTGCTCTTCCTGAATGTTTCATTATAGAACAAAACATTGCTGTGTGTCACAACCAGCCCCCGTCAGATTCTCTACACTTAAAAGCATTACATGTTAAAAGTCATCCACTCTCTACGTCACTTAGCGCACATTCATGTCTGTGCTATTCTTAGTCACAGGTCAAGTGGTCATGAGTTTCTTTGAGCAGTTTTGCTTTTTCTTTGCTGTTACTTCATCTTTCTGTCACTGTCTGGATTACCTCCTCTCCACTGTCATTGGTGGGTCTTATTTGCCTATTTTTAATTTTTACTTCCTTTAAAATGCTGTTGATTTCAAAATGTTAGAGCAAGTGAAATTAATAGCATTTCAAAGTGGAAGAAAAAAGTGAAATGCCTCTTTACAGAATCAATATTATATTTGTTAGTATAATTGTGTGGTGTGTATTTGCAACTGTGTTTTTTAAAAGAGATTTTATTGCCTGCGAAATATCAGAAGTTACAATATAGTGAAAATATGAAACATTTTGATATGAGCTTCAGTAAGTCAACATGAATTTAGTTTGTGATTTGAAGGTTCCATCTGTAATTATTTTGACCTTATCAATTGTTTTAATTGACGAAGATTTGTACCTTAGTTGTTGTTTCTATTAACCCCTCGCTAACTTTCTCACCAATCTGACAAGTACCTGATGAGCCATTTAAATCAACACATAAGCAGATCATCAAAAATGGCCTGACACAAAATTAAGCACAAATGGAAGGAGATTATTAATCAAGTTTACAAAATGGAGAGGACAAATTGCAGGATTGAAAATCCAAGCTTTTCCTTGTCAGTATAAATTATTAAAAAGAAAAAGACCACATGACTAAATCCTGGTGTTTTTGTGGTGCATGCAATTCATTATAATGGTCATTCCTCAGAGTTAATAGATGCAGAGCAGAGGAAGCAGCATATCTAGGTCTGCTTTTAACACAAGTGTAACAACATCACTGTCATGAAAACACTGTGTTAACATAGACCACAGGAGACCCATATATTCTACAAGCCTTTTCCTGTTAGATGTAATCTACTATATGAATAATATTCAGAGATGCTCAGCATCATCGTCTCTCACCACTAATGCAGTAACATCTTGCATCTTATAAAAGAGTGCGGTTCTAAAATATAGAGCATAGATTTGATGATAGAAAATTTCATGAAGATTATGGTCATTGGTACATTATACAGTCAAAACCTAGAGGGAAATTCTTTACATTTCATTTGCATTTCACATCAGGGCAGCGTGGATGTATTATTGAATTAGTATGATGCTAAGCTCATCGAGTGGTTTTCCCTGTGTGTGGAGGCGGGTTACATGCGTCACTGAATGACGGCTGACTGTGAAAGAGCAGAGAGGGGATTTAAAGTTTGACAGCTGCCGCATGATTGGCTGGAATCTGAAGCAGAATCTGATTGGTCATTTAGAAACGCTCACAATCAGCTGATTAATGAAGCATAGAGAGAGTAAGAGAATTGAGATTGATTGAATTGTTTTCCAGATTGAATTTACGCTGAGATTCACGACTCAAGGGACTTAGTCACTGTCAGAATCAACCCATTTACAAAGCATTAAAAATGATATTAATGTTTTGCAAAACCTGCTCACAAACAAATTAAACATGCTTAACACAATGGAATTTTCTGCATGCAGTCTGTCCTACTTTCACTTTCACTAAAGAAAAAATGACAATATGACAATAATATATTTTGGAGCTATTACTGACAGCGTGGCTCTAGGTCAATGTTTTGATTCACCAGACTAAAATATCTCAACAGCTGTGGAATGGATTGCCATGAAAACTTCATGGTGCCAGGCGGATGAATGCTACTGATTTTGGTGATCACTATGAGTACAAAATATTCTCATGTGTTTTTGAATGAATGTCTCATTTACATTTACAAACATTGGTGAGTCATTTACTTTTTACCTTGCGTCACTATCTTGTCCATTCATTTGGTTTAGGACCAAACAAGCCTCAGCTGTGCTTGGCTATTAACAAACCTTTGCATAATAACATGTAAAACTATAATGGGGTACATCAAACATTATACCTGCTATTAACATTAACGCTGCATCTCCACTTCCACTTCCTCCCACTATTCAGAAGTGAAGCCAAAATATCCTGGATACAAACGCTGCTGCATTTGGAGCCAGAGTCTGTGCAATAGCGAAGCCACAGTAACACGGAAGTAGCACTGTGATATGTGTGACACATATACTACAGCCAACCACCAGGTGGAAATTGAGATACATTGACTTCACTTTTGGGGAAGTTCCTCCATCTTTATGTACAGTTTGTGGTTAGCATGCTGATGCTAGCATTTAGCTTAAAGTCACACTGTGCCTATATATGTGTGTGCTTTACAGAGGTGTTAGCATTGCCCAGTCTTTATACAGCTGTTCTATATCCAACTCTCTGTGATGTCATTCCCCCCAACATTTGTTCCTCTCAATACATTTTGTAATAAAAAAGGACCTGGTGTCTTTTAATGGTTTTCGATGATTTATGATCTAACTGGTTACACCACCAAACCTTTTTTTAACCCCATGTTTTATTGAAATAGACTTTTATCTGATGTAAGATTTCACTGATATAACCCTTTCACCTGGGTCTGACACAGACCTAAAACAAAGCTTCCTCTGTTGAACTGGTCAAACATCACACAGTAATCCTGTGCAGCCCATGTGGTTCCTAAAGGATGGCCTGTGTCCCATGACACACATGGCAGCTGTTAAATCAGAATTTCACTCTCAATGGTTGAGTCACATAAAGAGAGAAGATACCCCTAAAGTTTAATGTCAGAGATGTTTAGATGACATACATACAGATTGCACCTTGTTAAACCCTTTGAGACTAATTGTATACACATTTGATCAATGATTGACGGATTGATTGCTTGATAGCATGAACATCCTGTCTGTTGTACATTATGTGTCCTCAGCTATTCATTTTTTTTATGGCTTCTCATGATCATATGACTGGGATATCACAGGACCATCTCGTTACTAAGAAACAGAACAGTGCAAATAAGGAAATGATGACTAGTCAGGCAACGGTCCATCCATGTCAGTTTAACACCTCAACTGCATCTGAAGAAGAAAAAGAAAAAAGAACAGCTGACGACCAGCGTTAGAATGGATGTCTCATCCTGCTGAAAGCTTTTTTGGCAAAAACAGGAAATAAGTTTGATTCTACAGATAATTTGTTGTCTTTTACAGTCTGGATGCACAAACAGGGGTTGAGAGGTATTAATACTCTAATCGTGTATACTCCTGTGTGTGTGCTTACGCAAACATGTACAATTGAAATTGAAAAAAGATATGGTGGAGCAATTGGGTATTTACTCTAATTTCTGTAACCTTTAGCAGACTGATATGCAATGTTTTCCCACAGACAAACTTTAGTAATGTCATTTCAGATTTACACATATCTACTCCATTCAACAGTTTCCCAACTGGGATCAATACAGTTCATCTATCTATCTATCTATCTATCTATCTATCTATCTATTCAGGACAGTTTGTGAAGGGGAGATCTGCAGGACTGATAGAAGGCTGAATGGTAAAACTAAGCCTGGAATGGCAGGATGAGCTTGAAACATTCATAAGGATGAAAGGCTGATGTAAGAACAGCTATGTAGGTGGGAGCTTGTGTGAAAGTATTTCTTATTCATGTAGCCCATTTGAAGGAGTTTCTGTAAAATACACGCAAACCACCATGTTTTATTATCACTGCAGTATTAGACATTGAAAACCACATTGATCCTCATAACATACAAGTACATTGCATTTAAACAGACCATAATTTCATGTTTTAGTGGTTTTCAAAGTTACCATAACTTTGTGTAACTGGCACTACATGTCTCAATGGTCAAAAAAATATTCTCGAAGTTGATTATGTAACTCTGTAAACACAATGTATTGTAGGTCCAATGAGGAGCAGAAAGAATGATTCAAAACAATATAGGTTACACATGTGAAGATTAAAGGGTAAGAAGGGGAAATTGTACATTTTTGCTTTTTTGCTGAGTTAAATGAGAAGCTTGATACCACTGTCCTGTCTAAAGGCTAAATATGACACTTGCTTGGCTTAACACAAATAAATGGGGGATCCAGCTTTACAGTTCAGACTCGAGTGCTATCAATCTTATTGTTCCTCTGAGTAAAGTTAGAGATCGACAAAAAATCTCACAGGTTCTTTTCTCTCTTGTGTTAATGAGTTATTATTAGTATCAGTATTTACTCAATTATCCTGGTAC